ACTTACATGCACTTATCATCAAAGTGATTGCACACGCTCTAGGATTAGGTGTTCCAAACAACACTATTCCCCACCTAGATTTAGCAAAACGGACGGAAGAAAGGACAAGAGCAATCAAACTGACAACGAAGGGCCAAGATTACTTGATCCAACAACGGCAGATACCTTTGCACAAGGTACATCAAGTGAAAGATCAAGGGTGCTTTCTTGATCCGCCGTTTCCGGAAGTCGAGCGCTGCCCATACGTACTCGATCTCAGCATCCAAGTTGGTTATAACATCGTATGCAAAGAGTGTAGCCCCTGAAGCTGCAAAAATCGTAAGCACGAGCCTGGTCTGTTCGCGAGAATCTGATATGCGAGGGTATCGCACCGAGAAAATACTGGGTAGGAAATACGATCGAATGAATCAGATAGGCAGTCTGTCAAGGATGGTGTACAGAGCACTCACACCAACAACCGTCTGATGTTCAACCAGGGTCTCCAAGCCTTTTGCATCCGACGGTATATCAACCATTTAGGTTTCTCCAAAGTACAACTACAACGGGTCCTGGGAGAAGAAGGAAAGGGTAAATCAAGGAACTGAGCATGAGCAGCTTATTACTACTGCACCGTGACACGACCTCGGAAAAAAATAACCGTTCCAAGGATGCATCAGAGAAGGACACGCGGTTAGGTACCAAAGACGTACAGCTTCGAGAACGGGCAAGTCCTAATGTAGTGTTTTTTCCCCAACACGTATACCAACAATCAGTATCCTCTCTTTCGGACGACGACCTTAAGCAGCGACGCATTACAGGCGACAATCTCAGTGGTTGCCATCGTACAAAGGACGTGAGTAAAAATTTACCAGGGCTGTCCCTCCCCTCCAGGCAGAGAAATGCTGCGACAGATTCATGGCGGATTGAAAAGGTCAGCAGTCATAGAAGAGTTGGAAATAGCCTCGTCAAGAGCTGCCTGGATCGATTTAATAGCGAAATTGAACTGTCATCGTGGTTTGAAGAAAGGACGGCGGGTTCGGCAATTGCCATCTGATCCAGCCTTCACACTGGCGTGACACAAACGTGGTCGCTCAGATAAGATAACGTCTTTATCACCATTCGTGAATGTCGGTACATCGGGTGTTGTTCTCCTCCGCTGTCTGTTGCATGCCTGTTCCGTTCGGACTTCGACTTTGCTCCCCATGATAGCTCGATCCTTTACAGCTCATGGCCCCAGGTCGAAAAGCATGGTGGATCATTCAATTACAGTTCACCAAGTTGTGCACTGACGACTTCAGTTCCCTATCTAGATTCCAGGTTGTATGGGAAATGACCCGCCCCGTCCATTGATAAAATTTGGAACTGTTTTATTTTAAACCGTCTAGCACCGGATGCGAGCCGCACATTCCCAGCGCCGTCTCTACAACATCTTTACATCTCCTTCAGTGAGTAGAATCTTCATTTACTCCCTCTAAACGGGCTCCGTTGAACTGCATATATTTATATTCGGATTACAGCGCTTTGCAGAACCTAGGGTGCGACCAGATTTTTTCCCCATCATGCGAGCTTTTCGAAATTCCAACCCAATCTTCTGGCTTGATCTTCCGAGCGGGTCTGACACTGTAAATGCTCATTTTCTATTGCCTCTTAGCCACGTAATTCGCCGCGCGAAAAGTGGATTTTGGAGGTCATCTGAGAATCAGATCCAAAGCATCAGCTGGACCAACGAAATGTTCTTGGGGTATTTGAGGGGAGCTTCGCTGCGGCCTCGTTTGAACGAAAAAAGGCCTCCACATACATACCTGTGTCTTTTTTTGGTACGCAGAGACTTCTCCCGCAAGTTTGAACATCAACCTTATCGATTCAATCATATGTATTCACCGCATCCGGGCTTTATAAAACCGCTCCTCAGGAATATTTGACAGAATCTATGCTTCACGTGGACACTGCCTTCCATTCAATTCTATTTCTCAACCTGTGCCTTTCGCATTCAATCTTCGCCCGTGGTATCTTCATCCTGTGAGATGTATGTATTTCCTTTAACCATACGTAACACCCCACTATGACACCACACCACGTATTGAGCGTTCATTACCGATGTCGAATGTTCATTGCCGGTCTTTCATATAGCTCGCACACTTCAGCCCTCGGGAGTCTAGCTCTCCCCCTCTTTCCCCTTCCCGTCCTCGGAGAGTCCGAATGGTCGAGATACCCCCAGATGTGAACGTTTTGGAGACACTCAAGCATGAAATGCTCGTTCGTGTAAGTTTTCAATTATCACCTCGACGGATTCCCCGGCTGATTAATCCTTTCAACGCGTCAATCCTTCAACAAAACTAGAATTTCAATGGTACATTTCCTCCTAGTTCCACTCCCAACCACCAAACAAACTCATGAACCATGTTACCACCACGGTTTCCAGCTGCAGGGGGGGCACTCTTTGCCTACGATGTTCTCATTAATCTGGGTGATGAGCTCAACTACGTTTGGGCAGCCCTCGAGCCTCGAAGACGGCCAATCAAATGGGCAACGGTGTTATTCAACTTGATTTACCTCGCGCAGAGATACATGCCCCTGTTGGATCGGGTTATTCTGGATCAGTATTGTGAGGATACTGGCTTACCCCTCCGTTCCCCTTAACCGTACTAATTTTTCTCTCTCTCTCTCCCCCTCGGGAAAAAACAGTCATGTTGGGCGCACCCAATGCGAGAGCGTGTGTCATCACCTATACATTGAGTGCATGTGCGGGTGTTTTCTTTGGCATTTAGAAGTTCGAGTCGGTATACTAAAAGACGTGTTGTAGGGTGCTCAATCTTGGGAATTCTGCTTTCCGAACGTACGTCACCCTCCCCCAAACTTTCTGATCTGAAATCTCTGAAATTCCCGTTCAAAACAAGTGATTTTGGCACTCCGAATATGGGCTGTTTGGGCAAGGAAACCATCGATCGGTATCATCCTAGTCGTGCTCTCCCTGGGATGTTCCGTTCCCGCAACAGTGTTTTTTGCGTTTTTTGTGCGTGGAGTTCAATGTAATTACCCTTTTTGCTTGCAAAAGAGCATATTTTCAGCGCGTGCTCACATTTCAATACTTTGTCAGTTCCTGAGCTCAACATACCTGGCCCGGCTCAGCTTCGAAGATGTTTCTATTTGATGGAGAACAAAGACATTTATGTGTGCTGGATCTTGTTGATGGTCTATGATAGCGGTTCGTGGGTTCTAATACCTTGAACGAGGTGATTTGAAGCGTGAGGGACGTTACAGCTAGCTTTATCTTAATAGGGATACCTGGGTTTAGAACGTGTAAGTTGTTCACCTGCGTTGTAGTATTCCTCTTTGCTAAAACATCGTACTTGTGGACCAGATCGAACAAGCGGAAGATCAAGTTTAGTGAAGGTTGTTTATCGGGATGGTAAGTAGACCGTTTTGGACTCTGTTCAATATTGAAATGGCACTCCGGAATCAGGGGTGATATACTACGGGATGATTTTCAGTGAAGTCACCTTTTGTCAAGTCATACGTTTCTCCACAACTTACAAGTTGATAATTTCAACCAGTGGCTTCGCTAATTAACGTGATTATCATCCTAATCTTACCGGTTGAGTGGACTATTTGATTGTGTGTGTGACATCTTATGTACTCACATTGTATTTCTTCTCCTCTGCTCGCTCAGCCCGACCTCGTTCATATAATCTCCCCGTAAGTAATTTTCATTGTCGTTCGAGAGAGCTGCTCGGATCTCAAGTGAAATTATCGGTCAGTTTCGAACGCGTTCTTCATTCCATCCTGGCCAGCCACGCAATTCTTCACATACGAAAAGTCGCTGCTCGGCAATACATCCAAACAGGCGGTGACACGACCAGCGGTATGATGACGACGGGAGAGTTCAGTACCGAATACACCGAAATGTCCTTTGCTTTAAACGACTTTCAATCTCGCACTGACGCTCAGGGAGGTCAAAGCCAGAACCAGAACAGGGCCGAGGGAGCCTGAGGAGATTTTTTTGGGAGGAGAAGAAGAATTTTCTTACACAGCACCATGGTCCACGAGCTGAACAAAGCAGGAGGAACTGGATCTGTTCGAACCCCCGTGGCGTTCCAGGCATTATATCGGAGGACAAGAGACTCACTCGGCTATCTGAAGCTGGGGGATCTATTCTCATTTCCTTCAAGGCTATTCACCTTATAGAGAAAGATGCTTTGGAAGACAAGCCACCTTAAGGCCCTTACCTTTTCTCCATCACTGCCATGGCAATATTCTGGCCAGAGGTGTCAGTAGTTTTAATCCCTTACTTTGCAGGGCACCCCTGTGAAACCTCACAGCTTTGAATCCTTTTTCTGTCACAATGCAAGAATGTTGCTGCTTGCAGTAGAATAGTCTTGAGAGATTGAGTAGTCACAGAAACAACAGCACAAGTAAGTAGAAGAGTGACAGATCTCACTATTAAAGCAAGGATACTAATACAATGGGAACACACCAAAGTGCCAGTGAGAATGAGCAGGGCAAAGCAGGAGTGAAGCAACAAAAGAGCAGAGAGCAGTATTCTACTTTCTGAGGTGATTGTAGCAAGAACCTTTGATCAGCTCATAAAGCCTTTTTAGCTTATTTTTCCACTGTTAGCTCTTTAATATGATCCCTCATTTGTTGATATAGCACTTGGTGTTCCTCAAGGTCAAAGATGTGCCTTTCTTCTGCTTCTTGAGTGTTGTTGCCTTCATCTATCAGCTCTTCTATCTCAGTAATGGACTAGAAATGTAGATAATGCAATCAACAATCAATGCCCGCTACCAACCACCACCTCCAAAGATCTATGAAAGGTCCTCAGAATGAAGTGCAGGGGGTGCAAGCTTGGGTTATCCCATCAAGGAAAACTGTAGATGGGAGTAGACCAGGTGAAAACTAAGAGAACTCAAGCGAAATCAAAGGCAACAACTATCAACTCAAACACCAGTAGCCACTATCTAAAGGGACAATAATCATTGATGGGATCTATGACCAACAACAGAATCTGTTAGCGAGTAAAATGGCTAGACCAGGGATTGAACCTGGGGTCCTGCCGTTCTGGTGCAGTGCTCTCACTACTGAGCTACCCAGCCACATTCAACAGATGTCGGATTCACCAATATCCCTGACAGAATCTTGTTGAGGATTGACTAAGCTCTCAAACAACTCAAAAGACCATGCAAGAATCTTGGACAAACAAAAGACCACACAAGAGCAAGCACTGGTTCACTCCACTTCATTCCAGATTCCTATATTTGATTTGCCATCTTTATTATTTCATTGGACTTTTTCACATTATTCATTTCATATCATTCACTCCATTTCATTCCGATTCCTATATTTGATTTGACATCTCTACTATTTCACTGGACTTTCTCATATCATTCACATCTAGCCCATTCTATATTTCTATATTTGATTTACCACCTTTACTATTTTACCATACTTTTACATATTATTCACATCCATTTCATTTTAGATTACTATATCAGACTTATTATCCCTTACTATGTCACCATAGGTTATCTAGCGATGAGTTCTTGCATTTAAGCTCTACAAATACAAGAATACAGACAGACACCTTTTTCTCCACTATCTACCTCACCTAGCTCTCACTCAACCTGACCTTGAGACCCTAGTTTGGATGACTAGCAGTGTCCCCACAAACACTAGAGGAGACTACCAAGCCTCACAGTTGATGGTTTGAAGAGGTTATGGATTCAATATAGATTCAATATGTGAATGAAGGAAGGTATGTTGGTTAGGATTGTGACAAGGTCACAAGTAATGATGTAACAATGTAACTATCCAGTGACACTCCTCAGTAATCTAGTTACTTTGGTGTTGACACACCTGGTGACAGCACTTAGACTTCAATTAAGGAGAAGGGTTTTGGTTTAGCCAGGAGTGAAAGAGGAATTCATTGGTCCATTATAAGTTGTCGACATGCCAATATCACTTTCAATGTACATATGAAATGCAAAAATAGTTTGAGTTCTGAGAGGCATATTATCAGCCTTCATCTTCACCTCCAACTCTTTCCATTCCTTCTCCTCTCTGAAATTATCCTGAACTTGGGCATGTTGCCTATAAACTCTCTTTCTTTCTTCGTCCAGTGTAATGTGAAGATCTCTGTGCCAAGTAACTCAATGTATTGTTGAGCTTCCTTGAGTTTGCCTTGAAATTCCTGGAATGTTCGAAGATGATCGGTTGCGCACCGCGAAGCCTGAGGCCTGGAGTTGCAGAATGAAACTCCACATCTTGGAGCTGATGAATAATGACCTGATTTCTACTGTGTTCAGAGTGTGAAAACATTACGAGATGCAAGGGAGCAGAGTAACGATAATCCAATGAGTACGTACACGTTGTCAAACGGTCGGACACTGCTACGGATTCGTGTATTAAGCAACAGAGGCAAATGTATCTAATGCTCAGAGGCGGGTAGGGAAAGATTTTTGTCCTAAGGCTCAGTATGGTACAGAAGCCAATGTTATAAATTGTCCTTGAAAAAGTCCTAGGTAAAGTAGCAACATATAGTAAACTCATCCCCAGCTTGGCCAAAAATTTCCCGGTCGTACTACTGAGAACGAGGAGCATCACACTGTAGTTTCAAACAAGTGGTGTAGTTCATAGCCAAGAATTGGATAAACGGATGCAAAGGAGAAAACCTTTGCACTTAAAGCAAGCATCAAGCTATATACTTCCCTGCAGCAGCTTTGCCCAATTACCCGCTCGTGAATGGGCGTTCCCCAGGATTAGAACCACTTCTTCGTTCGTGGCCTTCATCCTCCGATTGAATCACACTCGAAGCAAACATAATCTCGGAAGGGGTCGAATCGACTCCTCTGTTTGTCATCGTAACATTCGATAGGTTCCACGTCTGTATAGGAACTCCAGCAACCTTTCGAATGTGAAGAATCGCATGGCTGGCAAGGATGGAGTGAAGGATTCGTTCAAAGCTAAAAAGCATAGGGAAGCATAGAAAATATTCAGATTGCAAGCCGAGGCAGACGTGACGGATATCACTTACGGGGAGAGAAGCAATATGAAGTCGGACTAAAATGCAGGAAAGCAGAAGGATTAGCACGAGGCCTTGTGGCTATACGGTATAGGTAAGTTGAGCGCACCGGTAGAATGAGAATCATAATAACGTTGATCAATGATACAACTATACAAGAGAATGGGTGAGTGGGTAAAGACGAACCGGTCGTGGAAAACTAGGCCTTACTGAAGATCAGCGCGTAGTAAAGCACGCCTGAACATGAGACGTGAGTTTTTCATTGGATTTCCGGTTAACGCTTTACCCACCATCCCGACAAACGACCTTAAGGAGATGTGAATTCCCTCCTCTCCGAACTGAGCCAGAAATCATGGTTAACGAAAACGAATTATGCAAAAGCCCTACTTACAGACTCGAAAGGCAGGTATGGCCACTAGAGTAAAGCTGACTTCGAGGAAAGTCAGGACCACAGACCGTCCACAAACGAAACAACGAACTGAAATTGTAGACCATCAAAAAAACCCAGCATACATAAATGTCTTTGTTCCCGATCACACAAAAACATCTCCCCATATTCTGTGCTGGAGGAGCTATCTGGAGCTCATAACCTGTTTTAAGCGGAATATGAGAAAGCGGAAGATACTCCTTGAAGTCAGGACTGACATTGAATTCCTTCTAAGAATCTTTCGAAGAATATAGCTGCAGCAACCGAGCACACCAGGGCAAAAACCAGCAATATCATTCCGACATTCGATGTTCTTTCCCAAACAGCCCATATTCGAAGTACGAGGAGGACTAAGAGTGGGAATATGAGATTGAAATCAGAGTAACACAAACAGACGTACGTTCAGAGAGGTAGATCCCTAGAATTGAGCCCCCTACGCCCATTCTAAGATTAGCATAATCACGATTGAGGACGCCAAAAGAGATCGCCCCTACATCCGCTCAAGGTGTAAGTAATGGAACAAGCCCTCAGATTTGGTGCACCGGAAATAACTGATACCGTCCGCAAGCAGGATTAGCAAGATTAAGTGAGATGCAGGAGATCATTATACTGACGATAAGAGTCTAGAATAACCCGATCTATAAATGGCATATACCTCTGCGCAAGGTACATCAAATCGAAGAGGAGCGATCCCAGTTTCAACGTCGGGCGTTTTTTAGGATCAACGGCGGCGCAAATGAATGTCCATAACGGTATCCATATGTACTCCATCTCGACATCTAAATTGATAAGGACGTCGAAGGTAAAAAGACCCCCCACACCGACTAGCAAGGAAAAAGAAAACGCGTCCGCAATGAGAGTCGAGTCGTCGTACAATGCGTAACGTGAGGTACCGTACCTCTGAGAAGCTGGAAATCATCAGAGAATGGCCTAGTTTAACGTCAAATAAGAATGTGGACTTACGCGAGTGCACCACTCATGCTCGAGTGTCTCCAAAACGTTCACATCCGAGGGTATCCCGGCCATTTAGACTTTCGCCGAGCACACTGGCAGTAGGGAGGAAAGGTAAAAAACAGAAGGGAATGGATGGAACCAGCTTTAAAACAGACCAATAAATAGCATTACGAACGATTTCGATGTACGAAAGTGAATCAATTATTGGAGCAAATGAACCGAGCCATTGCAACGAAGAAAATGAGCGTGAAGAATGGTTCTGAGAGACGCGGAAGCGCGTAATAGCAGGTCACGCGCTTGGAGGCTCCCACCAGCCCGTCCCACTGAGTGTCACCGCTTGCCGACCTTTCAGGTTTGAGCTTCCCGCCTCAGTTAACTTTAGTACTTATCGTCCTCTCAGAATCACATCCCTACCGGTAAAGCGTCAAGCCTCAGCCTTGGCCGCAGCACTGCACTGCCTTTACGAGCTGCTCACCGCTTCAAAACCGATCCGTCAGTGGCAGATGCTGGTGATGGATATACGGTTGGTCGACGTAAATCCTATTTCAAAAATTCTATTTTATGAGTCATAGCCCCTATGATGGAAAGCTCGCTGCTTTCACCAAACGCCAAAGCTACCATCTCGTAGTTCTAGTGATACTAAACTATTCTTATTGCGATGAAGCTTATAGTCAGCACTGATCGGCGGAATCCTTCGCCGGCCATCTATCATATCATGTTGGTGATTCACCTCACTTGTTAGAATGATTATCGCAGGGCCCCTTTTATACTCCATGGGGTACTCCGACCAGCCAGTTCCAATCTTTCTATCTCGAACGACCACTGTATAATGCGGCTCTTGTAAGTCACCCTCCAGCCGTTCCTGCCCTTCTCAAATGATTTACACCCTCCGAAAAGAGTTATCAACACTACCACGTTTCTTTCATTTGCCTCAGGATTTATAAATGCCTTCATAATTGACTCTGGTCATGGAAAAACATTCACGCAAAGGCTACCCGTCACACTCAGCTGGAGTCGAAATGACAGTGAAGCCGCCTGCAAATTCTTCTTAATAAAGAGCAGAGTGGAACATGGTCACAGTACGTTTGCGACAATAACCGGATCCGAAACGCAGGGCTATGCAACATTTTCTTATAAGAATACGGGGTATGTATCAACTGTCAATGCACTGAATGTTTCGAACCTGATTCTGCACTGCAATTCAGAAAATTTGTGCTGGAGGCAGCTCCAACAGGATGTCCTAGCCACCCAGAACATCAACGAGCAAAGCAAAATGACGGGCAAAATCATGAAGAGGAGGCGACTATTACAGAAAGGAAAACAATCGAAGTGGTGGAAAACCATTCAACTAGCGCTCAAGGTAGTTCATTGTCCGATGGCAACACATCTTCGTGCGTAAGCTTTCCCCGACCATTCTACCAGTTCAGTTCTATTAACTAGACACAGATCAACATCTTTCTCTACCCCAAGGTAGGCCATCCGATTTGAAATGGGCCAAAGCTGAATTACAAACCGTTTCCAGTACTACACCGCCCCCGAGTCCTTCTTCCACTCCTGTCTCGACATCGTCTCTGGGGAACACATCAAAATCGGAAATAGGAATCATCGTGGGAACAACATGCGGTGCAACTATTCTGATCTTTCTGATAGTCGGCGGGGTTCTCTGTTACAGAGTGCGCTTCAGACCAAGTAAT